ACCGAGATACGAAGCACTTGAATCGCGTCCTGTATTTTTATAGGAAATAGAGAAAAAGCAAAAAAAAAAAAAAGAAAACTTGACATCGATCAATTCGATTACTCGTGCACTTAAAATTCTCTCAGTATCAGCAGCGTCATGAAGGAAAAAAGTCAGATGTCCTTGTGTTCTCGAGACGAATTTTGTACGTTCTGCGCAGATTCTATATGCGGCCATTTAAACATTTGTACCGCGATAATTTTGAAGTGAGCTCGAAATACCAAAATGAGTACTTGCCAAATAAAAACATGTAAAATAGTCATTTGAAAGAAGAATTAAAAAATATATATTTTTATAAATATATAATAATTATAAATTTCGCTTCCAAAAACAGAAAGTGTTAATATTAAAGTGGGAAGAAGCTTGCAGAAAATCAGTTTTTATTATGATAAAAGATAAAACCAAATTAATTATATTATATATTGTATAAGCAAATATAACTAAAAACATAAAAATAAGTAAAATGTTAATGATATAACATCTAATTCATATAACTTCAGCAACATAGCATATATGTCATGGTCTCATGTCTTCATTGACTGTTAGAAATGTATGCACAAGAACACATCTGAGTTCCATTACCATGGGCAGCGTTTCGCTCGTCCGCTGAAATGTGCGACGCTACTGAATAAAGTGACTGAAGTGTCACTTCCGGTGACGTTTTTATTTTTTTTCCAAGGGTGCGCCGCACAATAACGATAACGATAATCACCGAGCGATACGAATGGCCGCGTCTTATTTTATATTCATGGTATATTACGCAATGAAGGTGTGCGTAGTAAGCGGGGGATAGACGAGAGAAAATTGCAAGGCACGAAAATTGCGTGGATATTGTCCGATGTTGGAAATACGTTCATCGTTTTAGTCGAAATCAACGAATAAGGTCCGGTTTTACCACCCAGTCAGAAAGGAGATATTGATATGACGTTCATTCGATCGTCGAAGAGGTTGACAGCTGGTTAATTGATTTCAACGTCGAACTGTTGAATCGACTTCTTTTTAGTTAAATAATAATTAGCAAATATAGACATACGCAGTCAAATGTATATATATATATATATATATATATATATATATAATCATATATTAAACCAGGCTAGTTATACTAAAAATAGCAGACTTAATATGTATACATTTTTTCTTTGAATTAACGAGAGAAGATACTTATATTAATTTAGCGCTTTTAACGATTGCGGTGCACTGAGAAAAAAATATATATCCTAAATTTTAATAAATATTCATTTGAATAGTACCAACTAAATATTTATTAAATATAAAAATATATATTGTATTTATTTGATACAAGAAACATTAATTTGATTTAACAATCACTTCTTTTTATTAAATAAATATTTATTTATTGTAAGTAAATGTTTTGTTGGGACAGTATTCAAATAAATATTTAAGAGTTTAGAATATTTTTTTCTTAGTGTAGAATAAATGCCTTTTCTAACTGGGATTGCAAGCATCAGATGTATATCACATAGCTAATTGCTCACATAGCTAATTGACTAATTTAAAATAATATAATCTCATTGGTAAAATAATTAAAAATTACTAGGAATCGATCGATGTAAGTGATGTGTGCAATTGAATTGTGTGCAAGTGTGCCGCTCTTGCATCTTGGCGTTATAATAGTTAATGATCGTTCAATTGACCAATCAGGATAAAGAAATTTATAAAGATACGTTTTATTAAAATTACGTTCATCCGTTTTTTATCGTACGACAAATTTTTCAAGCCTGTCAATATTGACTGCAGACAGAGAGATTCGAAAACCTCTATCCTGCAGCCAATCAACAGGTTAAAAAGTTTGTTGTCGTATGATAAAAAACAGAATGTAATATTATATTAGACTTAAAGCAACTAACTGGTTAATCGAACTTTTTCGTGAAGTATTTGTGCAGCGTTCAGATCGACTCTTACATAACGCTTAGCATAACGCATAGAACATAAAAGAATGAACCAATCAAAATTCCTAGTAAATTTATATATAAAAGTAAGGTCGTTTCCACAGTGAAATGATGTCGAAATGACTATTGAGAACTTGTTGATATTTGATAGTATTTCGATGTCGAAATCGATCTAAAGTTTGATTTTATTTCAATGTCAGCTTTTCGACATTAATTGGACGTCGTATCAACTGTATATTTCTGACTGGGCAATGATTAGATTTAATGGGCTAAGATTAATTTTAATTTCGGTTTAACTTTCTGTTTATCTTTTTTCAATTTTTAGAGTTAAAAAAAGATAAAGCGTAAATAGAACTGAGATTAATCTTACCTTGTTGAAACTGGATCTAAATTGAATTTAGTCATAGGTTAATTTTAATTTATTGACGACATAATATTAAACAGTGGTGATCAAAATCAATAAAAGCGTTAGCAGATAATAACGCACAATCGAAAGATGTGACTCGAGCGAGTATATATGCTGTTATATGATAAAATCCACTGATCTGATTCATAGTTTACGATATATGCATAATACATAATTTTGCACGCATCGCTGAATCATAAAACAACAGGAGACTCCGCGTTCGTATGAAAACCAGCAGTATTTGTATATGTGATGGATTAATTCAGTTTTGTCTAACACTATTCATCACGCATTCTATTTTCGCGGCGGATAGTTCGTCGATTTGAACAGAAAAATATTGAGATTCGGCGGCCGGAGTACTAGTCGCGAGGCAAACTCGGGGTTCAAATTGAAGTAATTAAAACCCGGGTACGCGGGGGTCAGGAAAGTTGGCTATTGTCAGTCGAGAGCGTGCGCCTTGTTAAATTTCTCGGTCGAGCGAGATCCTTCGTCGCAAGTGGAGCGAAACGGATGGCCAATGGCCAATGATGATTCTAAAACTCTCTCTTCATTCCCTTGCCCCTCCCTCCGTCGAGTCACCCACGATGCGCTTCCGATTCCCTTTCTGTCTCCTTAAAGTTCGTGACTCACTGGCAGTCCTTTCTTGGAAAGGGGATTAAAAAAAAGAGACACTAAGGGATATATCTTTCAAGTTCGAAATTTTTCAGTATCCTTGTTAGTATCGGGACGACTGAACAGTTTTGTTACTATTAGTAGAAAATATGTTAATCTTTCTTCAAATCATTTATTTTTCTTAGATTCATCGTCCTGCAAGAAGATTTATCGAAAAATATAAAATTAAAATATATTTATATCTTAATTATATATGTATTAGTGATTATACCTGGAAAAAATTCAATAAATTAGCAAAATTGATATTTTTTAACAGAAACCAAGTATTGTGTTAATGTAAAGAAATTTAGCTGCTTCTGCAAAATACACGCTTTTTCAGCTTTTTAAATAATATAATAAAAATATTTATTTACATCAACTAAACAGTTGATGTAACTAAATATTCATGTTTGGTAAATTTTAACCAAATATTTTGTTATAGCAAAATTTTGGTTCACAGAACAAAACAATTTTTCTAATGTAACAGTGGATTACTAATTTGTTTTATGAAATTTAAAACGAACAAAAATATTTGTTTATATCAACTGAATTGTTTGGTATAAAAAAATATTTGAAGCTGAAAAGTATTGAGCAGAAGTAACAAAATATTTTGTTATATAACCAAAAACCATATAGCTGTTAAAAATATCTTAACTAAACAACAATACAGTTTTGTTGAAGATGCTGAAAATTTTTTTCCTAGATATACATCAATGGTTGTATTAACGTAATCTATTATAATTTTTATTGAATATCCTTTAGTTAGCTATTTTTCTGATTTTAAAGTCGTCACTTTAAAAATATAATTATAAATCTCTATATAATTTCTATATAATTAGTGATATAATAAAGATTACGTGATTGATGTTTGATTGTAATTAAAAAATCCCCTCTGAGATAAAGAAGTCAACGGAAATACGAAGCGTCTGAGAAAAACGGGTTAATCGTGTATCTTTGGCGTGCCTGTCTAGATGCCACTGTGCTACATGTAAATATTTAGCAAAACGCTCGCGCGAATAGTGCTTCACGTTTCGTATGCCGGCGTGCATGCAGGAAAAAAAGGTTAAATAAATATTAAAGACAAACAGAGAAGAACGGGATTTGAAGCATGCGGCAAACCCGACCGACGCATATCGTTCTTTTGAATCTGGACTTTTTCTTTCTTTCTTTCTTTCTTTCTTTCTCTCTCCTCTCTCTTTTCTTTCTTTATCTCTCTCGTTTACTTTCGACCTGTACCCCCGAGGCAAAAAAATCCCAACTACGATTTTAGTCACGATGTCACCCTGATGCCTCGTTGCCTCGTAATGACTCTTCGTTCGTTGACACGATATAATTTGAATCGTGATATTCTCGCGGAAAAACGAAAAGAAAATTATGGTAGGGAGATACGTCGTACCAAGGAAGATGTATCGCGAATGAGGCGAGTTTTGCTTTTTTCTCTCCCTCTTTTTTTCTCTTTCCTACCGTTGTTGCCGCGAGTCTAAGGCGCGTTTTCTGTCGTAAGCAGAAGTACTGTCAGAGGACATCCGGCGTCCGTGATACGTTTCCAATATTTCATCGGCTCGTTTGCGTTATTTTGCTAGACAACTCGTCGATGCGAGATCGTCGGCTCTATGGTTCAGCTTCAGGTATCCATGCTTTTTATTTGCCATTGTCATTTTGTTTCTTTTTTTATAGGATCACTTTACATATTATTACCTATGTAATAATGTAAAATGCCATTTGCAATGGCGTTCGGCTTGTTAAATCGAGAATAGAATCGAGAAATATCGGAAGTGTCAAGCACCGTAGGACATTTTTGTTTCCAACATGAAGAGAAATATATGTTCCGCGGGTTACTTATCTCTTCTATATTGATAAGAGATTATTATTAATCTATATATATATATAAGTTATTACGTGCACGTATTTAATGGAGTTCAATGCAATGAGACTTGAGTGATCGATAATTGGTGCAGCGAAATACAGTATTAGTCGGTGCGCTGCGTTGCCAATGAATTAATTTGTCGTGTGTATGTGCGGGTGTATGTGTACATAGTGTGAGGGAGAGTAGGAGAGACAGAAATCGGACTGTTAATCCAATCTACACGCCAAATCAGGAATGATGGCCCGGTAACCGTTCGCGCCTTTTAATGATCCATACATTTTGATTCGAGGTAGGAACCCGGCGAGAAACTTGATTTCTACGTTACGTTGGATTAGTGAAACGTGGCGATCATTAGCAGAAAATTAGGTCCCGTAATTGAACGTTTGTCGAAATTTCCACGGGAATTGTTTGCGATTGAAGCATCCACGGCGGCTACACGGAGGTTAACCGTTCGCCGCATACAGGAAATGGGCGTTCTGCGCCGTGTCATCATGCGGTCGTATCGGTTACACGAACGTATTTGGCGCCAGTATGGAGGAACTTTGAGGGTCTATCGACAATTTCTTTCCAAGTACCGATCTCTCCTGCTTCTGTTAATTACTCGTCAAATCAGGACGAGTCAGGACTCTGAAGGGCGTCGCGGGCTTTAAAGCCGCTAATCTGTTTGACATTCGTTTGCAAATGCGTTTCGTCGACAATTTTGGCGTATTTTGCAAAATTGGTGGTCATTGCGGTTTTTAATGCATCCGGTAAAATCTAAAAGTATAATGACAAGATGAAGAAAGCAATTGTTTACAGTCAAAAATTGCTTATGCACTTACTTCCGAACGTTCACTGAGCCATTTTGCGAAAGACCTGACGCTGTCCAGATGTGTTATGTCTTTCCAGACCACGTCCATCGTTTCTAGATCGGTCATCACGTTCTCACATTGTAGCCATTTTTCTCTCACCCGATTTTTGGGTGGTACAAACCGAAGCTTCCAGGGAATCGCGGTACCAAAGGCCATTGTTTTGCTTGGCTTACTCTCAGCTTTGGCATCTCTGATCAGATGCGTCTTGGTCATGGCAAGCTCACTTGCATCAAAACACTGTCTCGCTGCGGCAACATTGTTAGGTACCATCGGCATTTCTCTGATTGACATCTATCTCAAATATAATCGAATATTTTATTTTCTTATATCCCTTCGACGTAACGTAGAAAAATTTCCTTTTTGCTATGAATTTCTGACAGTCTCGAAAAAAAAGAACATATAAAAAAAAAACAATCTTACGATAATGAGATTTCTGTCATTAATTTAATTGTGTTTTTTCTATTGGAAGGAAATATCATTTTCTCCACGAGAGACTCGACGAGCTTTATTTGAGAAATGCGAACGTGCAATCAGGTCAGCCTTCTAGTACCGCGTTGAAGTTATAATTCAAATCCCGCGTTGTGTGGTTCACCGCTCAAAGTGCGTGTTATCGTTGTTACATCATGCATCGCATTATGATGTTACGCCGTTGTAGGACTATCGCGTGCACGCGCGAGAACGCATTTACGGAGCGCAATACACTATGCGTCTATGCACTTTGTTTCTATCTGTACCTCCATCGTTCTGCTGGCGTCGGCCGTAAAGTCAATTTCGAACATATCTCCTAGGATTTCCTCGTCGATGACTTTGTCGGTGCCGCTTAAACTACGCAGCCAGTCGCAGAAGTCACGGCATATCCTGTCCGTAATATTTCTGGTTCTCATCTCAAGAGTAGCCTCGGGATCGTAGCCTTTAAGATCGGCCGCCGTTAAAGGACGCCAAGTGACAACCTGTAACGATCAGCGGATTTCGGTATTAAGAAACCGAAGAAGCTCCTTTTGCATGGAGCTGTAAAAGCTGATTTTAGCTTACAAAACTAATAATGTTATTTCGCGTTGTCGATGTCGTACCTTGCGCCGCGGTTTCTTTAAAAAGAGAGCGTAAGGATTCGATCTGACTTGACCTACTTTATACTCATCTCCGTTCGAAATGTCTTTGGTTGTCGGGGGATGCACCTGCAGATACGTATAAAAGCTTACTTTCAACTAATAACTTTCGAACAGACAAAGCGTACTGTGTCCGAGTAATAGAATTCACAGTATTAAATGAGAGACTTATTTCCATTTTTGACTTATATAATCAATTTATTGAACATAAAAAATATATAACGTAGCGAGAATGTAATTTCCAATTAGTTTTAATTGATTTTTATTAAAAGAAATTAATTAGAATCATAAACATGAAAATATAATGTCAAAAATTTGAAAGTTACGAAAGTTCTTCTTTAAAAAAAACCAAATTCGTTATAGAATGTATTAGAATATCCGATAGCAGAATATATTTACATACGTACAATCAAATCGAAGGGAATCGTGCCTTCTTCTTCTTCTTCTTCTTCTTCTTCTTCTTTTTCTTCTTCTTCCTCTTTCTCTTCATAATACTCCACTTTCTTTATGACTTTTTTCGGGTACCAATTCGGCATACCCAATATTGGGGCGATAAGATTGTAGGAATCAAGCGGCAGGGCACGTTTCAGCAAACGAATATTGCAAGCGGGAGGCTGTTTTGTGGAGAAAACAAGGTCAGACGGGAATTTATCAGGATTCAAATAACATTGGGAATCCACTAGTAACTTCGTTAATCTCGCGACTAGTTTAGCGCGCTTTTTTGTCGCCGTCATGCTAGTGCTGTGTTGTTTTATCATTCGCGAAGAAAATTCGTTCGCCAAGCTCCTCAACATGGTCGTGGTCGACATGTCGTCGCGATTAGTTTTCTCTAAAAATCGCGAGACTTCAGCGATCGTCAAAAGCGGTAATTCCACGCGCCTCTCCGCTTTCACTGAGTCGGAGGAAGTCGACCCTTTCGCGGAATCTATCTCCTCCACGGGGATTACCTTTCCTTGCCCACCTTCCTCCTTGCCTCGAGGAATCTCGAACGTACGTCTCGTAGAATCCTTCGATAAATCCTTGATGCTCGCGTAACTGTATCCTCTCTTCAGCTCACCCTTTCGTGCAGATTCTACGATTGGCGATATCAGCTGTTGCTGCGACTTAACTTTCAAGAGGGCACTCGTGGTCTTCGTGAGTGTATCTTTCTTCTCGTCAGCCTTTTCAGATTTCTCGCTGGTTGTTTTAGATGGCGGTCTTTCCTTCGTTATTTCTTCGTCATCGTAATATTCATTGTCAGATTCTTCTTTCATCAAAGTCGCAGTCTTCATGAGAGCGATTCGCGACTCCATGATAATCGGTTTTTTGTGTCTCAAAGCTCGCAAAGGTTCCATGCTGGGTACCAAGATCGTAGGTAAGTGACAGGGCGCCATGTTTTTGTATTGGGATGAATCATTATCCAGTGGAGATGATGTCTCATCGTCAGAGGTATGCACCTCCGAGGACGAAATTTTTGATTGTTCAATGTCCGACGATATTGAAATCGAGCTGGAGGTGGCTTTCAAGCTCTTTGGATCTTTAGATAGCAGGCTTTCAGTGGGTTTCGGTGTTTTATCCTTAGATTGAATTGGATCGATCTGCATCGAAATCTCAGTATCTTCTTGCTCCATTTGAAGCGACGACGATGCTGATTTGCTTGACCCATCCTCAACCGTTTCCGGATATCTTAGAATTTCCTTTCTCTGAGAATATAATATCTTCCGCAATTCCTCGCGAAATTCCGGAAGTCCGTCGGAGCTGGACTCGCTATCGTCTTTTGCTTCAATTTCCGTTAGCAATAACGCTCGCGAGGAGACAGCTTCGGTTTCGTTCGCCTTCCGCAGGGATTTATGCATGCAGGATAAGCACCTATCACGGTTCTTGCGTCGAAAGCACGAAATCCTCGGAATAGCGTCTAGGAGTTTCGCTGAACGATTTTCCCAGGTTTCGTACTTAGCGAACTTTGTGCTAAAGGCGGACTTCGTCAATGATTTTGCGGGAACCATGGAGGATTTGTCGGAATTCAACTTTAACAGCTTATATTTAACGCCTTGCTCTTCGATATTTGCAGCCCACGTTTCTCTCAATCTTCTTTGCCTTTCGCGTGAGAAAGGAAATTCTGGGATGTGAGTCCTGGATTCAGGACTTTCGCTCTCAGCCACGTCTGACTCGTTTGTATCTATTATCGATCTGTCAGTGGAAGCGCGCGATCTCACCGACGTTTCCTCCCACACTTCGGGTTTGAAATTCAGATTTTTGTTAAGCGTCAAGCGCTTCAATGCCTTATATGCGCATCGTTGCGAGTAATTCAAGAATTCCTGCATTCTATTATCAATCGTCTGCTCCAATTGCGTTTGAAGATTAGGTAGTGCATCTTGTCATTCAGATTCATCGATAAGCTTTTTCCGAATTTCAAGAATCTGTAAATTCGATGACTGATTTATTACTTTTCCAGGTGTTCTTTTAACTCTATTTTGAGGTTGTAACGATTTTGGAAACGACGGTGCAATTTTTAAACTATTCATAGACTTCATCTCTTTTGTAGACTTTTTGCCAGAAGAAAATTTAAATTTCGACGTATAAACGTCAGATTTGAAATTGTATTGTTTGTCGAGTATATAATTTTTCTTATTTTTAGATTTGACTTTTGTAGTTCCACTTGTAGTTAAATCAACAGTATTGTCCAGATAACACTCCTTTTGTGGAATAGTAACCCTTTTGATCTTCTTACTCTCGACAGAAGTTATTCTGTTCTTATCTTTATCATATTTAGACGCATTCTGCACGTGTGGCAATTTGTTCAATTTTTCTCCCAGCGACACGTTTGCTCTCGGATCTTCCGTCAAATATCTTTCGATATCGTCGTCAAAAATTTTCACCATGGGTTCATATCTGTGAAAAGGACACGTCTTCTTTGAATATATTCTTCCATCTCTCGATCCGTCATGCGGTATGATAGAATTTTTGGAAGAAACATCAAGCGACTCTGGTTCTTTATACGAATCCACTTTTTTGATTGTAGATTTATTTTGAATAGTAACAAGTATGTGTTGTTCCTCTGCATTCGTCCTAGCAATTGTGATTGCATCATTTTTTGATGGTTTCTTTGGGGTGGGAGGAGAGATTTTAACTATTGGCTCTCTAGCGTTAGAAATAAAATTTTCGTTGTCTCTTATTGAAGAAATATCTGGCGCTTCGGAGGATTTCGGATCTACGAGAAGTACGTTTTCATCGAAGCTTCGAGGAACGGAAGAATCTATAATATCGCGAACGTCTGTTTTCAAATCGCGCAGAATAGGAATAATTGGAAGGTAGGGTGATTTTGGAAATGAGTTTCTTACTCTAATTAATCTTTTCTCTTCATCGTCGCAAAATTTCTTCCAGTATTCCTTCGGTTTAGGAAAAGGACGATCCCATCTGAAGCGAGGTTATACATTATACATGATAAGAAATTTTTCATTAATTTTTAATTCAATAATTTAATAAAATATATATTTATTTTAGGAACATTTTCTGTAAAATACTGTGCTTAATAAAGAAATTAATTAATTGACATAATAATAAAAAAAAATTTATTAAACTATATGATTAATAGTAAAATTTATCTAACGCTAAAATATTTTTATATTAAATATACATTATATTTTTATACACACTAATTTTGTATTATTCAACATACTTTGTTCCTTCCATAACACGTAGCTTTAAATAGTGATGCTTAGGTTGCTTCAATCTTGATGGATGAGACATTTTCAACAATTTTATAGTATTTTGTACACTATGTAATAGATCGATGAGTTTGTTTCAACGACGCAATTTTTTTATATTTAATTAAGCCACGATTCTCGGTATTCTGTAGTGATTGCCGATATGGACCAATATGGACTACTGTCAACTACTGAAGGTATTTAATTTCGTTATCGATCAAACAAATTCAGAGCATAGCGTAAATATCGCAGTCATCATGACAAGCTTCCGGGAACCAGGAAGAGATGGTAGTACTTTCCTTTAAAGCTTGTATTGATCGCGTACGTAGGTCGAGTTCTGTACCATCGACTGACGTTCATCGTGTTCTGAGATCCTTTTCGTTCTCTGAACATAAACCACGTTTTCGTGATTGTATCTATCGTGGATAATATCGTAAAGTTCTAATATTTATCTGAAAAAGATTCACGTGTTTGTTGGGGATTTTGCTCAAGATCTAACGGATGTTCCACAAGATGTCTTCACCATTTAAGTTTTGCGTTTTATGTACATACTTCCACAGGGATGATTGATATGCATAGTCATTTCGACTTAGCAAACCTATGAACCCGAACTCACTGCACTGCAGACATTCATATATATTTATATATCATATTTATATACACACGTTTTCATGTATGATGCGATAAGAAGAAGATTTGCTACATCTAAATACATATTTTTTTCAATAGTGCTAACTAAACATTTACTTACGGTAAATAAATATTTACTCAATAATAGAAAATATAGTTAAATCAATGGTTCTTGTAGCAAATAAATATAAATATTTACATTCAGAGTAAATATTTAGTTTATACTATTCAAATATTCAAATATTTATTAAAATTTTGTACTTTTTTAATTTTTAATCCTTACCGTACAAGGCCGAGTCACTAGTGATCGAACGATTCCTGTTCGTTTAAGTTTCTTTGAGTCTCTTTCGATAATTATTTTTCAAAATGAAATTTCAATATTTATTTTAGAAAGTTGAAAGCATGTTGGTGAATTTTTAGAAATTTTTTGAACCATTTTGAGGCGTGTTCGAATTCCCATCCGAGTGTTCTCTAGGTGTTATGTCATTCTTGTTTAATAGTTGGTAAATAACAAAGATGGAGTGATACCTGGGTGGTACTCAGGTAAGAATCTAAACATAGTCCTGATTAGGTGAAAAAAAATGAACGGATTCAGTGACCCAGTTTGGACAGATGAGGAATCAAATTGTACCTTGTATTGTAAGGGTTAATTCAACATATTGAAGAAAAATAGAAGCAAGTGTAGGAAGAATAAAAATATAACAAGAATGGAAATAAAAGAGCTTATTTTTTTTAATTTAATACAAATTATATACGTATAATTTTATTTCATACATATTTGTGTAATTTAATATACAGTCTCAAATATACGGTCTCAAAATTCGCATTCGGAGTACAGGATATGATACTTTATGCTAAAATAAACAACTTTTTCCTTTTACAAAATTACGTCTGACAAGTAGCTTTTACAGAAGAGTAGATTGAAATTATACGAGTAAACGCAAAATTATTTATCGAATATATTTTACTATAGGAAAAAGATGTTTGTTTTAGCACAGCAATAACTTTTTCTTTTAGCAAAATTGCGTCCGATAAGTAGTTTTTGTAGGAGAGCAGGTTGAAGTTAACAAATAAGCGCAAAAATTATTTATCGGACGCAATTTTGCTAAAGGTAAAAGTTGTTTGTTTTAGCATAAAGTATGTTCTGTACTCCGAATGCGCGAATTTTAGGACACTCTGTATATTAATAAACATTAATAATGTGATGACTTATATATCAAATTTACATCTATATCTTATATAGCATTTCAATGTTATTCACGATGAAATTCCGATTATCTTTAGAAAATATAAGCAATATAGAATATAATTTTAAAGTTTAGCAGAAATGAGAGAAGGAAAGAGATAGGATGGCAAAGAGAATACATCTCATGAAGTAATTATTTAGAGGCAAAAGGGACATCTTTTCACAACGGGGTATCGTATAGTTACGCAACTTCAGTATTAACTGCCGGCCAATAAGCTACAGCACATATTGCGCTCGCTTGCGACCACCGAGGAAGCTCGGAAACTTCCAATGCGCTCGCGCACGTGTGTATTTTGCAATAAATAGACGCATTGCGCTAACAATAAGTTACGTACGTAATTACGTACATAACTTACGCGAGGAGAAGCACACTAACGTTCGCACTATGGTACATTGACCTAACGATGGGACAAGGTACCAGTATGGCCGCCATCTTATTTCCGTTGTCTCAGCTGTCGCCAGTCTTCCGGTCGGGTGACTCGATGCACATTGCATTCGGCGAGGAGACAATTGGACGAAAATAATTATTTGCCGCATTGTAGTCCGAATCGGAATCACTTGTATATCTACGTCGAAATTTCGAATAAAGTTTTTGATCTGAATAATTATAAAATCGATGTTAGAAATAATAAAAAATTTTATTTTCAAGAATCGTAATTTATTCACAGGTCTCATAAAGTGCCAGTATGAAAAAAAGTTCGTCAAATTTGATAAAGAACGGTGGCAGTTTAGGGTCAACATTTGTATGTAACATTTGAAACGTATGAAATCGGTAATCAATCTTTATAAATTTGGACTTTAAATGTAGTTCTTTTAAATGCAGTTGAAAATTTTTAAAAAAGCAATTTATTATTATCCTCCCCCCCCCCCAAATATCAAATTATAAATTCGGCTCTTAATTGAAAGGGAATATTAATCATATTTATCAAACTGCGCATTAATTCTCTCCATATGTAAAATATGCTAATTAAAAAATAATTATTTGAGTTTTATCAAATATTTTATCTCTACGTCTCTCTCTGAGAAATGAATGCAAATATACAGAGAATATTATCATTGAGATCGACGAAACATTTTTGTAAAAATATTCTCGACACTGCCGCTAACGAATTATTCAGTATTACTAGCTGTTAAACGTGAGTCTACCGAGTATGTCGCTCGATCGTTTGACGATCTCTCGGTACTTCGTGGTCGAGAATCGATGTTTCGAATCTGTGCCCACGGAATTCCGGAATCTTTGATCCGCGCGAGAGTACATTGGAGTACAGTGGACGTGTTGGAATGAGTAATTCGTGGTTCGGCGGAGTTTGACAGTTCGCTAAAAAGCTCTCTGCGCCCACAGGAAGTGAGTTGACAGTCAGGAGAATGCGTATACGCGCACATTTTGCGTCACCGGTGTAGTCACGGACAATGGTGTTCATTAATGCTTGGAACTCGTTCCATAGATATTGTCATAATATTAATTAAAATTTGAACATACAAAATGTTCCTTCTTTCAAAACTATTTCTAACGTTAAGACACTGTTTTCTTTTGTTTCTCACATTCTTAAGATTGTTTCTTCTCTTATTAAACCTATAATTTTTTTTCTCGTGGAGAGAAAAAGAGGAAAAATGAATCACGCGAAAAGTTCAGCTGAAAAGAACAGCGATTGATCTACCAATTTTTAAAATTATTTTTATTTATATGCGAGACACGATAAAGCATTTATTTAAATTAGTGTTACTTAATTTATATAATGCATACGATATTTTACATAATTGACACATAGTAATGTTTATAAATGAATATTTACCGCATAGAAAAATCAATTTGATCTTGTAATGTGGAATGACGAATTGTAAGCGTGCAAAAGTGCGTCATTAGAAAATCCATTAGTAACACGACATGTTACGCGTTTCCGCAAGTATACGTTGTAAACGTAAGTTCGCGTGCATACACAGCGGTTAGACGTGAGGACGTCACGTCGTGCAGAAATCCCGGGAATATTTGAGCAGCGAATGTCTAAGCAACGTCGGATATCAGACCGTCTGATACTTCGCTACTCTGACAGCGGGTCGTCGACGTGTATAAAGTTAGTCGGCGTGACAATGATAGTGAGAAACTCGGTGGAAAATTACACGTGTTTTCCGTCGCGCGGACGGGGGAATAATTGCACATCGGCCAGAAATGCAAGTTTCATGTTTTCGAAATATAAATTCTGATTAGAAATCCCGTAATGTCATAAGCTTATAAATGTATGTTGCGTAGCGTGGTTCACGAAATATTCATTGTACGGTAGTAAGGCTAATAAAGTTGGGAAAGCTGTTGTGCGAATCCGCGTATAATGATAAATTTTATAAAAACTACTTTCCGCCTCGCACAAGAGAATCTAGCATAATTTCGTATAATCGCGAGACTTCCTGAAAATAAAATGTCACAATTTAACTGCAGATTTAATTGGGGATTAAATTTAAACGCATCTGAAAGTGAGACGCCGTGCCGGGGTCTTCTCATTCACGCTTTGTCTATTATTTCGTCAAAGGATACCGTTATACAAAGATGTTCATGGAAGACTGAAACATAAACGCGTTGTAAATTATGAATTGTACGTTGCCGCTTAAGGGCCGCTTAAGGGCTATATTTGCCCGTAGGATGTATAATTGGGGCACAATCCGAGTAATTTCTCTGCCGCTTATACGTATGAAATAAGATACGATCAGCGTCGTTAAAGCGCGGGACGCAGTTTGGAACGGACGCGCGCAGCGGCGGCAATTAATTGCGGAACGGAATTGCTCTTTGTTACGGGAAAAATCGAGGATAACGCCTTTCTGCGCCACCGCAACGTTTAAAGCACGGCACGAGCCACGATAGGATCGGTACGTGAGATTACTTTGGGCTTTCAGTTAACGCACGGCTTTGAAACAAGGCGCCGCGGCCTGTTTTCCCCCGCCCGCTGCCAACAAACTTTAATTTAACTCGCTCTCATACGTCAGGCATATTGCTGGCTCTCCTTGCCTGTTACTATCCCAGACTGGGGCTTGATAATCAGCCGGCGTCTTCTTCGTGAATAGCTCCGTCGCGTCTTACGAGTTGTTTCGTTGCATCTTATGAGATACCTCGAAATCAAACTATTGGAACTTGATTAATTTGATATCTCTGTCAATACGCTTTTTTTAAAAATTATGAG